GGGAGAGACTACTGGCTTGCAGTCAGACAAACTAGTTTCTTTTAAGATATCCAATGCGTACTTCCATTTTGAAAGAACAATACCATCACGTGATTGAGCAATCTCAATACCAAGAAAGTATTTTAACGGTCCCATATTCTTAGTTGGAAAATGCTTAAATAGGTGCTGCTTTAATTGAATGAGCTCTTCTTGATCATTTCCAGTGATAACAATATCATCAACATACACACTAAGATATAAATACTTACCACTTGATGTTGCCTATAAAAGACGGGATGGTCTAATGCACTTCGGATCATGCTAAACTCTTGTATAACACTACTGAATCGACCGAACCAAACACGCGGAGATTATTTCAATCCATAAAGCGAACAACATAGTTTACAAACAAGACCAGACTCTCTCTGACCAAAAAATCTAGGTGGTTGCTCCATATAAATTTCCTCCTGGAGTTTTCCATGTAGAAATACATTTTTAATATCAAGCTGATGAAGAGGACAGTATTGTATATCAGCCAAAGCAATAAAAAGATGGATCGAAGACATTTTGGCAATATGTGAGAATATTTCAGTATAATCCTCACCAAAAACGTGTGTGAAGTCCTTAACCACCAAACGGGCCATAAGACGAGCAACTTGACCATCCGAATCAACCTTAACTGCATAAACCCAACAACAAGCCACGGGGGACTTACCTAAAGGCAAATGCACCAAGTCCCAAGTACCATTAGCATGCAAAGCAGCTATTTCATCTATCATTGTTTCTCGCCAACCTGGGTGAGAAAGAGCTTCACAAAGGGATTTAGGAAGGGAGACGAATGATAAGTTTGACACAAAGGTATAGTATGTGCAAGACAAATGATGAAAACTAAGAAAATTGTAAATAAGGTGAGGATTACGAGAAGAACGAGTACCTCATCGTAATGGTACAGAATCTGGCAGGATAGGAGCTGCATGAAAAGAAGACAATGGCAAGTCTTGAGAGCCGGGACAGTCGATAGACGCTAGAGGAACATGAGCGGTAGAACCATTGGAATGGAACACTTGCGGGCGAGGACGACAAGTGTAAACCTGAAGAGGTGGATGTGAAAGAAGAGGGAAAAAAAAAAAGGAATAGGTAACACATGGTTGACAGACAAGATCGAAGATGACGAAGAGAAATAAGATATGGACTCAAAAAATGTAACATCGGCTGAAAAGTAATACCTACGAGTATAAGGAGATAAACACTTATAACCCTTTTGAACCCTAGAATAGCCAAGGAAAACACACTTCAACGCACGTAGAGCTAACTTATCCCGAGCCAAGGAGTGATCATGAACAAATGCAGTACACCTAAAGATATAAAGGGGTGAATAATATAAAAGATCTTGAGGGAATAACATCTAGTGGGGAATTTTATTCTAGAGAACTGAGGATGGCATGCGGTTGATAAGATAGCAGGCATTAAGAACAGCATCAGCCCAAAACCGGAAAGGAACATGATGATCCACAAGCAAAGTACGAGCAATGACGATTTTTGCGTTCAGCCAGCCCATTTTGCTAAGGAGTATAAACACAAGATGACTGGTGTAAAATACTATGAGATTACATAAGTTGAGTCATTGGAGTAGAGAAGTATTTAGTGGCATTATCAGTGAAGTATTTTAAGAGACACGCCAAACTGATTTTGAATTTCACCATAAAATGTTTCAAAGACAGAAATGGTTCGGAATGAGCTTTCATCAAATAAAGTCAAGTACATCTTAAGAAGTCATAAAAAAAATGTAACATAGTACTGAAATCCAAATAGAGAAGTAGTTCGACACGGACCCCATATATCAGAGTGGAGTAAAGCAAAAGGCATATCAACCCTGGGGAAACAAAATGCGATTTTTTTTCCTAGCTGACACGACTCACAAGACAATGAAGATAAACTAAAGAACATTTAAATGGACTAACATAAACAAGATTTAAATGGACAATAAGGAACAAAAAGGACGGAAGATAAGAGAACACATGGCAATGGTTGAGCATCACCAACAGCCTTAACAGAAACTCGTGACCCCCCAGCTAAAGTAACATAAGGTAACGAGGTAGACTTATAAAATTCGGAAAAAAAAAAATTGGATTACCAGATAGGTGAGGAGAGGCACCAAAATCAAAGACCCATGATCCAAGAGAGGTACCAGTGTGAGCGACAGAGGCAATGGGTGAAGAAGATGACTGCTTTGAAGCTTAGTATGCAAGATATTGCTCATAGTCTGAATCAATCAAAGTGAAAAAATTGCATGATAACTGAGGACTTTCAGCCTGCGAAACAACAGCCCGAGGTGGCCGGCCATACAATTTAAAACATTTATCACAATTATAGCCCACCTATTGCAATAAGTGCAACATGGACGAGAGGTCCCACGAAAGCTCCCATGAGGACTAGGATCACTTTGCATAGGTGAAGAAGGTAAGCTAGTAGAGCAGACTTATCTCTAGAATAAAAAGTCGGATGAGCCACAGAGGAGACATGTAATAAACGAGAATAAATATCATCAAAAGTTGAAACTTTTGAGCTGAAAATAAGGTGATCCCGAACCGGACTCATAGCTGAACCAAGACCAACTAGTGCACACACTATATAGAATGTATCGCGCTAAGCAAGCTCCTCCGCAACTGTTTTTCCCCGGAGGTAAAACTGAATTGAGTTCAACTTTGATGGATGAAAGTTTACCGAGATACTCTAGAATTGTCAATCCGGGTTGATAAAAATTGACCAAATTAGATACCACACTATAGAGGCGCTGAATATAATTGATATATAAAGTCTTCGCACGTCTCCGAAGATCATCACAGTTTGTAAAATTGGTAAAAATTGGATGAAGGCTTGGAACAATGAGTGTCAAAGCAAACCGCATAATAAAGCATCAGCCTTAAGCCATGAAACTGTCTCAGTGTCAACAATCGGATCGGATAGAATAACAAGGTGATTTACCAAACCTTGACCCATACACCACATTTGGACAACTTTAGACCAAGAGTCATAGTTAGAACCCTGAACCAATCGTTCGGTGCTTTGGACCAAGAGTCACAGTTAGAACCCCCAACCAATCGTTCGGTAGCAATGTCCGGAGTTGGAGAAAGAACACCCGAAAAAAAAAAAAAAAAAAAAAAAAAAAAAGTAAAAGCAAACATGTTTGGGGCAATATTTGAATTGAAGAGAGCTCTATAAATTCATAATCACAAAAGCAACTGAAATCTTAAGCCACAACCTAATAAAAATTCAACCCCGGAGAAAAAACACCAAACAACCTTAACTGGACAGCCAGACCGAAGGAAGGGAGAGAGGACAACGTGGTGGCGGGCGGCGGGCAGTGAGTGGCTGGACAGGGTTGGATGGGTGACGGGATTAGGGTAGCTCTGCTACCATGAAGAATATCGCGATTCTCATTGATAAAAATTGAATATTACGAAATATAAATACCCTAATATATTAAAATTATACAAAATACCTAAACTGCCCTTATACTATTATAAATACAAAAATACCTCCGTACATAATATATCTAACAAATCTAACAATCATGAAACCTACAAACTTGTGATAGAATTTTATTTGATGTTTGAAAACGAGGAAAAATAAATTTAAGAAAAAACATCACCGTTAGGCATGCTCATGTATCAAAGTCAAAAGAAAGACTATAGATAAACATTAAGGGCTAAAGGATAATATTTTAATAGATTTGGAATTTGATTTATGAATAAAAGAGTAATCAATGCCATAAAAAATAGAATCAACATTTAGTCAAAACGATATTGTGTATATACATATGGATTGAGCGGATGGGAGAATTCGTCATTATCCATTGTTTGGCATGGAGGATAGGTTGACATAATTGGCAGTGGAGGAGAGAGAATTACAAGAAGATCATAATTATATGTTAAAAATTTTAAAATATAAAAAAATAAAAAACAAAACAAAACAAATATGCGTACAAACGCACACACAAGAAGACGAAATCTTTTTGAGTCAATTCGATCAAAATGATCAATATCTGAGAGTGGCTAAGTCAGGGGTTAGATGTATAATACTCGTTCGGGTTCCAACTTGGACTTCACAACACAACATGATCATTCTTGATGGAATTTTTGTTTCTTTTATTTGTTAGTTGATATTTTTGCAATTTTTATGTTTTATGACTATTATTTTAAAAAAAAAAAAAAAAAAATTTATTGTGATCAGATTCTAAAATATTCTTGCAATTGTGTGTCAATTGAATATTTATATATGTACTTGTATATTGATTTGATGAAGTAGTATATAGATTGGTCATTTTAGCCTAGAAATTATATGATCAACCAGAAAAAAACAAACAAAAAAATATCTGAAAATATTCGAACTAGATTTTCTCTTGCTAAATTCAATTGGAAAAATTATTCTATTATTGTACTTAGTTTATTTTTTTTTTATTAAAGATATGATTAATCACTTGTATCATTACCACCAACAAAGTAAAGAAAAATTGAGCATTTGATCATATCTAATGTTTATAATCAAATTATTAATTAATCAACAAGATTATATTAAATTAATGATTGAAACCTTAATCTAATTTCTTATTCATTTCTTGTCCGGAGAGATTTATCCTCATTTCATCAATTGATTTTATTTTTAATAGGTCTTTTTAATCCTCACTACATAAACTATTTCATAGTCTTTTTAGGTAGAACTTTTTCACATAGAACTTTGACACCACTTACTACAAGATAGTTATTTATATTATTGGATTCCTCGATAGCACGAACATAACGATCAAATTTCAGAAGAGAACCGATTCGAACAAATATCAAATATACAGTATTTGTATTCGAATCGAATTTACTCGATTAACCGAAAATTCCATTCGATTTTTTTGCCCACCCCTACTCAGGAGCATGCATGGATAGTCTTGCCTACTCCTTGTATGATTTTTTATATCTTTCAAGTATATATTGAGTTAACAAACAAGACAAGAAAATAAATAAATAAAGCCATTTTTATTTATCAAGTGAAGTTTTCAATTCATACATCAACGAAGGAACCAACCAAACATTTCAGGGTATAATATACCCAACCCAACCCAACCCAAACCTTATAATTTACATGAAGGATTGATTGATTATACAATTTTAGCTATATAATATATCAAACTTAATTCCAACTACAAAAATTTTGCTGTAACTTGAAGAAAAACAATGGAGAATTTGAGCTAGCTAACCTTGTTCATCTCCACAGAAGGTATCTGAAGTTGAACTCATACGGCATTATCCGGACCAGTTGTCGAAGAGGTCGATCCTTCTGCATCTCCAGCCACTTCATTAATTCTTTCCTCAGTTCGTACGGCAATTGGAGACATATCCAGTCGAGTAGAGACTCCAAGTCCTTAGCAAAGTCGAGAAGATACCAGTCGAGTAATTTTGGTATTGATATAAGTTTCTCCGATGTTGAAATGCCAATCGCGGCTTGTAAGTACTCCCGTTTAGCAGCTTCGAGCTCGTGCTCAACTTCAGATGCAGTGTACACTCGCACCTTCGATACAAAACCATGTTCATTGCAGAATGATTACTTCGATTGTTAATAAATTTGCAGAGGATTTCTTGAATATTTCGTATTTTCGAGCGAGCTAATTGTAAATTACCGGGAGAAGTAACTTACAGCAGGGGAGGACCAGCTTCCGCAAGAGAGTGCGAATGTCACCAATGGTTCAGACAGTTCTAAGCTAAACATGCTGCGTGTAGTCGCATCATCATGTTTTGCACCCTTTGAGAATGTCTGAGGATGTCGAAATTATAAGATTAGTCATAAAAACAGAACCCAAATGGATAAATGGATGAAAGGGTCTTGCGCTAAAAGGTCCTTACATGTTTCGAGTGATAAGGCAGTCTCAGTATGAAATGTTCGATCGTTATAGCATTTAGAATGTGTCCACCAACATTAATCGTCGCCTGAGCATTAATTATAGACGCGAAAACAGGCGTGTATTAGCATTAGCACATGAGAACATATCCGAAAACTGCCTAATGTAATGTCACAAAAAGAATAGCATAAATGTAAAGAGAAAGGGAAAAGTTATGGTTACCTTTTGCATCAGCGTAACAACTTTTTCAGGACTCTCAGGAATGCCATACTCAATAAATGCCTGAAATAAATGAATCTTTTATCTACATCGCTTTCTTCATAAATTTCGAAATGCCTAAAATGGTCGTCGTAAAAGTGAGGATAGCTCTTGATCTTACATTCATCATGCACGAGTTGTACAAGTTTATCCAGAATGCAAGTTTTTCTTGATGACTGAGGCCCTTTAGCTCAACCGATGCCAGTTTTTCGAGTAGAAACCTATAATTGAAGGCAGACAACGCATTAGCTGCTGCACGATTACTAAAGTTATGATAACAGAACAAAACTTTAAAGTTTGATTGATAGTAACTTACTTTAATCTTCGAACTAGAATTATAGATATGGTTGTCTGGTTTTGCTTGATCGAGGATGCGTCAATAGACAACAAGTTTTTATACGAACCAATGTCTAGCTTCCCACACTTTGAAGATATGCCGTAAGGATCTTTAAACTCAGTGTACTTGAGATTCTCCGAGTCTGGGATTGACAAAGAAGTCATTCCCACTAAAATGCTCATCAAACATTTAAGCATGTTTTCGGAAATTTTGTTTGGGTTGTCGGAAACTTCTGGTACTTCATCATGGTTGACGGGATTTCTCTCTTTTGAACTCCGAGCATCCATGTTTACATTGCTTTCAAACTGAAAAGACACAGAGAAAATGCAAAAATTAATTTCTTGTTAAATCTAATGGATTCTTTAAGTGTTTCGTCGTGTGGTAACAAATCAAGTGGAAAAAGAGAACCTGTAATTTGTTAGCATCAATTTGCCTCTCGACTGATCCACATTCGACGCGAGAATTTTTTAATGGAGATCCGATCTTCAGCCTTAACTTTGAGTTTGGCGATTGCTGCTTATTCTTCGAGGAATTGGCACTCGATTGGTTTTCCTTCCCCCTCTTTTCATCTAACAACAATAACCAAATGCAATCTGTCACTGATATCATAAATTTTTAGTTAAAGAAGCTAGAGCTTACTCATTAGTCGTGTTACCTGAAAGAGAGAGCAAATTCTTCCCTGATAAAGCGGCCACATTCGACTCCATCTGAAGCAATGATTTAGCCGGCATTGATTTCAGATCTGTAATTTGATCGGGATTGCAGAAATCAGCAGAGCCATCCATGTTCTTCTTCGATGAAGAAATGTAGACAGCTTCCTGATATAGCCCCTGCCTGAAATGCACAACTCTTTCTTCGAGCCGAACCACTTCTTCCTCCAAAACTGCGACTTCGGCAAGAAGCTCAAGTGTCTGCACATGTCCATACAAGATTTACAAAAATTTCCAAACCAGGCTAAACAAATGATCAGTAGCTTGTCTACTCCCATTCATTACAGAACAAGTTATTTCAATTTCGACCAATATGTCCTTTTGAGTTACAGGAATTCCATTAATTGTGTAATAAAAGATCAGAAACTTAAAGAACAGTAAACTAGGAGATTTGAGACTGACATCTGGGGGAAGATAAGGTGGGAGGCGAGGAAGAGCTCCCGGTGGCCGGGTGAAGGCCCTCTCCAAAGCTCGATGAACATTTTCTTCATGTCTGAGCTTCTTCTTCAGCTTATCAACCTGCAAAATGAGAAATGTAACTAAAATTACTCAGAATTCGAAGAGATAACGATAAAAGTGACTGCAGATCGCGAAAACACACACACATCTTGCTGCAGTGCGATCTTCCTTTCCCTACTCGAACCTCGACGGTTCGTCATCATTCTCATCTTGTCATTCACCATTCTACCCCTTTGGATTTCCACTTTTTCCTATTAAAGTTTTGCAAACAACAATCAGATCCCCACAAGAAAGGAATTACAACTCTATAGGATAAAGATAAAGCTCTCTTGATATTAAGTGCACACTGATTGAAAAAAAGAAAAAGATCTCAAACAGTAAACATGTATAAGCTAAAGATAACCAAAAAAAAAAAAAGTATCAGTAGCTTTACAAAGACAATCAAGAACAGGGATTAACAGTTAACAAGAGCCTGAAAAACAATCATGAGCAAATTAAGATCGAAATTTCAAAACCAATTGAACAATGTAATCCATCTTCTACTACAAATCAGGAGATTTTGAAAATCAAATTAGGGATTCAAACCAGAGACGCATACTTTATCTAAAAATTTGAAGAATTTAATCCTCTGGATCCTCCTGCCACTACAAGATGAAGCCATTTCTTCTTCTTCTTCTTTTCAAGATCAAAATCCAACAAATGGATACTTAAATAAAACAAGCTCAGAACAATAACTCTGTCTCTGTACATATTCATTAAAATAGGGCGAATTAATAACACGAACAGTACTTTTTCTGTCGTCTCCGGCACCTTCACAGCCTGCAAACTGGTCCTGCTCCTGCCTCTGCCTCTGGTATTCATCTTTTTCGTCAGTCCCCAGGTACCAAATTAATCAATGATCTCCGCCGCTGCAACACCAACACCACGCATTTAATATCCCCGAAGAAAAAAAAGGAATTCGCAAATCAAACAATAGGCTGGGTGTATTAATGAAGCCAATAAATGGAGGAATAATACACACCTCTGACGAGCGAGGAATTCACTGGCGAGGCGAGAGGTGCGAGCGCAGGATGAATCGATCGAAAGCTAATTAAGCTCGAAACGGCAAAACTAACAAACTACTTTACACAGTTCTTCTCTTCGGGCACCACTCCAATCCAATCGGCGCAAAAATTTCCCGATCCCAACAGCAGGAAGGAAATCATGAGAGCTTATCAACACCAGCAATCAATCGTTATCATCCGCTGGACTGTGTCTGTACCCACACACAAACACAAATCATTCGTTCCTCAGGTTGAGACGCTTTATTCATCGCACAGATGGAGAGAGAAAATTACTACTCTACACTGTACTATTAGCATATACAAAGTTTTTATGTATAAAGGTTGTCTCTGAGCTTCATATATACATACACACCTTCGTCTGCATCACGTAGTGGGGGAGGGGACAAAGCAGACCTCACCCTCTCTCTCTAGCATTCTCTCTATCTCTCTCTATATATATATATTTTGTATATGTATCGTGGAATATAAAAATGGAGTACATTATGTTTAGATGGAAGAAAAATAATTCATTTGACCGATTTTTGGTAATGAACAAATATTATTTGGCAAGGGAACCAAATTCCATTCCGTCTAACTTGGAATTTTAATTCAAATATATTGCCTTCAAAATATACTTCGTTCGTTCCAACTAATGTGCAATATTTGTGTTTCTCACGACGAATTTAGGTGGAGAGTATTAAATATGATAATCGGAGATAATTTGGATATTAAAGGTGCATTTGGCAATTAGCTGTAAGCTGATTCAATTAGGTGTTAGCTAATTCAATTAGTTGGTTTGACTAGTTGATACAATTAGCTGTTTGTATTAAAGTATTTGGTAAAACAACTTTTTTATATTAGCTGTTTATAAATAAAATTATTATTAAAGAATTAATATGTTATTTTTTAAAATATTTATTTTGTTCATTTTGATTTGAAATTTGAGAATTTTTATTATGAATTATTGAAATTATAAAAATATTTATTTTTATTTTTATTATTTAGATTCAAGAAAATTATTTTTACTAAAAAATAATAATTTTTTATTGAAATTATGTAAACTATAAAATAATAAATCTTTCGTATATATATTTTTATTATTTTAATTATTATTTTAATATATATAAATAAATTAATAACCTTTGTTTTTTTTATTTGATTTAGTTTTAAATTATATATTTTACAAATAAAATAATTTATATCTAATAATTAATAATAGTAATTATTTTAAATTTACAAAAAAAATAAAAATATAATTTAATATATTAAATATATTAAAAATAATTAATAAATACTTATATAAAAATATATTTATATGTAAAAAATAAATAATTAAGTTTTAAGGGTAAATAAGGAATAAGCAAAATTAAAGTGAAAAAGTTCTTTCAAAACGCTGGGTAGATGAGCTTTTCAGAAATTAGCTTTTTGTCCAAAAAGCTCTTTCAAAAAGCTAATTTACCAAACACCTAAATTAGCTTTTCGACTGGTTAAACAACTAAAAACTGCTCAATAAGCTAAAAGCTTTTCAAAACGCTGTTTCCCAAACAACCCTTAAGTGATGTGATTGGAGAGAGAAATAATTATTTGTTTTTCTATTTGAGTAATGTGATGGGATAAAGTGAAGTGTATATTAATATATATATATTATTAATTATTTCTAAATTTGAAAATATTGCATAAATTTGGGACAAACAAAAAAGAAATATTGGGAATGTTTGGGAGGAAGGGAGTAAAGGATCAAAGGTTACCAACATATAATCAGTAAATAATTAAAAATATATTAGTTAAAATAATTTTTATTTAACAAAACTAATTTTAAATTAATATTAAAATAACTAATTAGTATAATTAAAATTTAAAATAAAATTAAAGTATATAATATTTTTTCAAAAAAATTAAAGTGATAGAATAAATGGAACAGACGAAATTGACACTGTAGGTGAAATGGACTAAGGGTGTGTTTGTTTGGGGGTTTGGATTTTGAGTTGAGATTTAAATAGTAAAAATTTTGAATTTGAATAGTTGTATGATGTGATATAAATAGGTGATGATGTGATGTTTTGAATGTAAAATTGATTTTTAGTATAATATAAAAAATAAAAAATAGGTGTTTGATTTGATGTTTTTGGGGGAAAAATTTTAGATGAATAGTGAGATTTTGTCCAAATCTCTCAACCGACACTATACTGCAAGATTTATCAACATATATTTATACATATTGCATAAATAGCACCATGCTGACTTGTCTCCATTGAAATAGTCTCATCTTTTTTTCTTTTGTATATCTCATAAAAACTTAATTACATATTTACTAATAATTATATCAAATTTGTTTGATAGTCAAATTTAAATTTGAAATAATAAATTTTTTTTAAATAATTATTTTATATAACATAAATATCATATTTTGAACTAATTTTTAGTTTAATAAAAAATAAATAATGCATAATTGATTTTATATTTTAGGAAAGACCAATGAATAGTAAAATTTAGATTTAAATTTTATTTTTTATAGACATAAATAAAAAAAAATAATTGTATATTTGCATTATAATTGATAAAATTTTAAATCGCAATAATTATTTAATATAATATAAATACAAGTTGACATATTTAAAACTTTAAATGTTAAATTAATTTTATTATAATATAAAAAATAAAAAATAGATATTGATTTGATTTGATTTATTTGGTAAAAAAACTAAATAATTAATTTAGAATTTGAATTTTAATTGGAATTTAATTTATTCTTTAAAAATTAATGCGGAATTGAGTTTTTAATAATACATATTTTAATTTGAATAATTGTTTGATATATTATATAAAAAAAAGTATTAATGGGAAACTTGAAATATTACATTAATTTTTAATTTAAAATAAAAATTAGAAATTAAGTACTCCCTCCGTCTCATTGAAAGGTTACAATTTTTCATTTTTGTCCGTCCCAAAACAAGGTTATCATTTCCTAATTTAGTAATTGTACTACCTACTTCACATAATAAATACTTTTTTAACTTACAATATATTACACAAATGTCATTACTTTTATATTACGTCATATTAATAGGGGTATTTTTATTTTTTTTACTATAATCCAATATAATACTAATATTTAAAAATCTACGTGTAAAAACAAACGCCACCCTTCTTGCGGAACGGATCGAATATTTAATGTGATATTATAGGTAGAGAAAAATAATGAATAGTGTGATTTGACTTTATTATAATTGTTTTCTACAAATAACAAAAAAAAAAAAATATTTATTCATGACAATGACATTTATGACTGAGTTCAATTTATGTCATTTATTTTATTTTGTATGGATAGAAGTGGTTAAAGTATTTTTAAAAAGGAAAAAATTAGAAAATTTTATGTAAAATATTTTTTAAATTAAAATTTTTGTGTTTGTTTGAGATTTAATTTTGGGTTTTGATTTTGAATTGAAATAGTAATTTGATGTGATATAAATATGTATTGATGTGATGTTTTCAATGTAAAATTAGATTTTAGTGTAATAAAATAAATAAAAATTGAATATTCGATTTGATATTTTTGGAGGAAAAAGAAAGTTAGAATAGTAAAATAAGAGATAAAATCTTACAAGTCTACAAACCTACATTTTTAATATTATCTCTTAAACTTTTAAAATCAATTTAGTTACTATTGTTATTTAATTGTCCGTACTAATTTATAATTAGTCAAATATTTTTAAAATTAATTTTAATACATAAAATATTCAATATAAAATAAAATTAACAAATATATATATATATATATAAAGAGTTAGTTAGCAAATAATCTAATACAAGTGCAAATATATTCACTTGGTTAAATAATCTAATCAAATTAGCTAACAGTTAAAATATACGTAATAGTTAATTATGAAACACGGTCTAAATATTTTTTAAATTTTTTGAAGTATTCATTGATAAAGTAAATTTTTATTATATAAATAGGCTTTTCATCTGGTAGTAAACTATTTTATTGACTCATAATTTAATTAGTTTTATTTTAATAAAAATAATCAAATTATTATTATCTTTGTAAATTATCTCATTATTTTTAAATTAACTCTTTAATAAAATTTTCATAATATTAATATATTAATTTTTATTTACCATGTTATATTGAAAAATTATTATATTTTTAATCTTTGTATCCAACAAAACAAACATAAATATATGAACGTAGGGAGTAAATACTAGTTTTAATAGTATAAAAAATATATATTTATGAAATATATATATTCCCTTCCTTCATTTGTGATTTTATAGTAAATTAAAAAATAATAATATTTTATTATTAATGGAAATGTGTAAGTAATTTTGATATTTTTGTCTTTTTAACTTTAATTTTATGTAAAAAGTAATTGTATGTGTAACGGTATGTTTGTAATTTAAGTATAAATTAAAGATATTTTCGTATTAGTGTATGTTTAGTTTTTTCTAAAATAGAAAATGAATACTTTAAAATGGAACAGACAAAAATGATAAAAATAATACTTTAAAAATTGGGACGAAAAACGTAATTTATATACTCTATCAATTTTATTATTTTTTTAAAATATTGATAATTAAAAATATACAATATTATTTTTCATATTAATTACATATTTCTTTGTATCTAACATTAATAAAAATATAAAACCAATTCAAAACTAGTCATAGTAATTAGGATCATGTTGTGTTCTTCCATCATTCCCCAAAAATATATTTTTTCATAAAAAATTAAAATGCACAGTGGTTGCATTACTTATAAAGTAAGCATTCGATACAACTATGCACGATCGAGACACTCTCAGAAGAAAATCGTCATCGAGTGGAAGCTAGTTATGCAAAAAGTCTTGTACATATATGGTGCATTACTTATAGAGTAAGTCATCCATAAACAATATGCACTACACACAACCAGCAACCTATATTGAACATAATCAACACGAAAATCATCATTTCAGCCATTAAAATTGAAATTCCCAACTCCAAGTACTCATAAAATAAAAACCATAGAAGGTATACCTCAGAGTACTCAGGCAAGGTGGTCGCAAGAGGACAGTAAATCCTCAGGAACTGAAGGAACACTTCACGGCAGCTACGAGCATCGATTCCAGCTACAAGGGTTTTTTTGGCCATGTCATTTTGAACGACAATTGGCGACGGACACACAATGGCATCCTCGGAGTCTGGCACAACCCAGCCGGAGTACAGGTGGGGCGATTCCGGCACCTCGGAGGCCAAATATTCCGAGCTTGTACAAGAGTAAGGCATCTTAACAGACAGCCGACAGCCCCCCGTCTCGAAGGTCTCAAGCCCACCGTCGAAGGTCCCGCACGTCTCCGGCACCATGGATCTGTAAAGATCAGAGTCAAAGAGTGAAAGATTGGAATATGGCTTCTCGGGCGACTGCCAAACAAGGTCGACGGGCGAAGCCGGA